ATAGTTAGCATCATAGCATGTTATTTTCAAAAAAAATTAAACATCTTTAATAAAAAGGAGATTGTTCGACAACCATGCTAAAAAGTGACAAAAATTAGCATATTTTTCGTCAATAAATTATGATTATTTGATGGCTTAACGCACTAAAAAAATTTGAACTTTAATCTTTTTTTTTCTCTTTAATTTTAACTTAATTTTATAATTATATCATTAAAGTTAGTTTTTTTTTTGTAGCAGTTATACTCTATATCCAAGAACCGTTAAAAGCTCATTGACATGGCCATTCGTAGATTCTATATTTTGTCACATTAAACATATAGACATGCCATGTCATCGTTTCAAAAAGCTTATGATAAAAAAGGCTTAAATTTTGACGATTCTTTCAATTTTTTACCAACCTTTTACTTTTTTTTAACTGATATTCTAAATTTATTTTTCCTTATCAATTTTAACTTCTATCTTAACATTCAAAACACGAGCTAGAGAATATGGTGATAAAATAAGAGCAACGAATGAATGGAGACATATGCATGTGCACGACACAAGATGTTTGAAAAGAGAAATATACACTTATTTTATTGTTTGGAAACTAGTAACTTTAATTCTTAAAATTTAAGAAAGAGTAAATATACTTTTTTATTATAAAAATATATATTTTTTATCACTTAAAATTTTAGAATTATTGATTTAATTCAAATCTTAGACCATTTTGAAAAGTAAATTTGTGTTTCTCATGAAAAAGTGAATTTGTATTTCATTTTATTAAGTACAACTGATAACTTCTAACTATTCTTGAAGAGAAACTATAATTGCTACAAAATTAAATTCAAATGATAGAACTAATAAAATTAAAAGAATCTGCTAAAATTGAAAAAAAAGATTAAAATTCAAGATTTTTTCATTAAGTCTTATTTAATTACTAATTATAAGGTAAGTAATTGCCAATAGTCTGGTTGATATTTTCATTAGTATGAGGAATGCAAGGTCTCGAATTTAAATTATTTCGATCACAAGAGTTTTTCATCAATTCGGTAAATTAAAGAAAGGCATCCTTATAAACTAAGTAGCATAAGATGAATAAAAAATTTATCAAAAATAAAAATACAATGGAAAGAAACTAAATGGTTTATTTTTGACAATAATGCTATAATTTTTCAATGAAAAGAAAAAGAAATAAAACCATATATTATCACGTCAAACACGTTAAAAATCCAAAAAACTGGAAAAAGCTGGTTAGTTGAACTGTTGTCAATTAGATCAAGTAATTGAATGTTGACCCTTGTTCGAATGCTGAGTCAGCTGGACAACATTAATGTTTTATTTTAATAATAATATCCTTATTCTCCTTTCTCCTTTTTTATTTTTTTATTTTAATTTTGGTTGAGAGGTTGACGAAATGCTGCTTGCTTTCAATGGAGGAGTCCCAGTCTCTCCACTATTTATTGTTTTGGTTGTATGTAATATAAAATGTGCACGCCTATAGCTAACAGTATGATCCACGTTTTTATTTCTTGAAATGCCAAATAATGTTATCTAAGCTATACAATGATGATCCTTCTTTTCTTTTTCTATAAGCTAGCATATTAAGACTTTGCCTTTTGATTAAATGGGATTTGAAAGTGAAACTATACCACTCCCCTTTTTTAAGTACTTTCCAACTTTGAACATAGAATAAAAGAAGTACAGACAAAAAAAAAAAAAACAATTACAAGGGTTACAGGAGGAAACTGGTACAGGTACAAGTTTGAATTATTTGTCGAATTCATTTGATTTTTTATTATTTATTATTTTTTTATAACATGCATTGCACGTTTATTATATTCTTTTTTGTATTCGTTTAATTTTTTTTTACATGATATTAAAGCATAAATTTTTATTCAGATTGAAATAAATAAAATGTTTTTTTTACATTACACTTGGCCCTAAAACTATTTGTAATGCTATTTCTATATACTTCTATTTTATATAATGAAGTGGTTTCAAAATAAAGTTTATCCCAATCCCTAAATCTAATTTTAACTTCTAATTTATACATGTTCTTGAAACTCTAATAGGTGTTTAAAAATAAATTAAGCTATAACTTGATCCTCAACCCTTGTCCCATTACCCTAAATCAATATCTATATATATTTATAATGGAAAAGTAAAAAAAATAAAAAAATATTTCTTACTGCTAGGCAAAAGAAAATAAATGAAAATTTTATTTAAATTGTTTAAAAATAACAATAGTTAGAATAATAGTAAAAATCACTTTTGTTATAGCAATAGTATTATTATTATTATTTTGGTAATAAAAAGAGAGCAAAAAACTCAAAGAACTAACAACAAAACTTTGGATATATGACCCCCATAGCATCATGAAACAGCCATGATGAAAGAACTGTAGGAGGATCTCTTAAGGTATGAGTACAAAGATCACAATTAGCTGCAATTTTGCCAAGAAAGTCAGCGTTATAGTTGGCTTTCTTGTGCATATGTTTCACATTGCACACCCAATCTGACTGTATCAAGTTTGTAAAGGCAATGGCCGGTTAATGTGCAACTCCCTCAGCTTGAAACAGCCCATTGATAAACTGAACCACCACTTTGCTGTCACACTCCACCTCCAAATGCGTGACCACTAGATTTTTGGCCATGCGCAAGCCTTTCAGGATCGCCCAAAATTCTGCATTGGGTATAGAAAACGTCCCTATCTCTGACACAAGCCTGCAATCTCCCCATGTTATCTTTGACATAAGTATTATTTATTTAATGCATTAAAAAAATCAACATATTCATATATACTAATACTTAAAACCTCAAAAAATTCTAAAATTAGAAATATATAATTCTAATTTTTTTTTTCTCTAATTTTCCAAAAGCTATTTCTTCAAGTCAAACGGAGTTTGGATGTTAAAGAAATTAAAAAATTAAAAATATTTAATCATCAAGAGATTATCTTTTCATATATGAAACAATATTTTTTTAGATGTTTTTTTATTTTCTTACATTTTAAAGTTTATTTTAATGATTTATGAGTAAATACTTATTGTTGTTAATAAAAAAAAATTCAATATAAATTACAAATTAAAATAGTTCAAAGTAATTCAATAATAATAATTATCAAGCAATATATAGATACCCGCGTGCGAAGCGCAGACTAGCAACTAGTATTATATATATTTTTTAAAATAAAATTTTTAATTATTTGCGATCCCCCACAAATGTTCATTTTATTTAAAAATAAATTTTAAAAAGTAAAAATTTTAAAATTTTAAAATGATTAATTATATATATTCTATTCGAAAATTTATTTAAATTTTAAATGATTAATTATATATTATTCTATCGAAAATTTATTTTAGACATATAAACCAATTTTAAAAAGTAAAAATTTTAAAATTTTAAAATGATTAATTATATATATTCTATTCGAAAATTTATTTTTAGAACATATAACCAATTAAATTATATAAATATAAAAAAATATTAATAAAAATATATATTTTTCTTTTTTTTTATCAATCTCTTAAATACAATCTTTTACTTCTAATAAAATAGAATCAAATATTTAAAAATCTTTTCTTTTGGCCCGTTAGTACATTTATAGCCCGACTTAGGTAAGTTTTATTAGAGGTGTGCACAGGACTATGGGAATCTCGATTCGTTCTCGAAAATTTTTAAGAATTTTTCATTCCGAGAAAAACTGATATTGATTTAATAGTCTCATCCCGAAAGTAATTACATAATGGGAGTGGTTCTTTGATTAAAATTGATCCGTATAGACTCAAGTTTTGTCCCGTCCTTTCCCGTCCAAAACATTGGAAATTTTCGTCCTATTTTTTCTTTAAAATTATAATTGTCTTTTTTTATGAATTTTAAATTATGTCCATAAAAAAACATTTCATCCTTTATCTCTTAGTTTTTTATGATAGAAATTATTGCTAAATAATAATAATACGAAAAAATAATATACATTTTTAAATATAAAATAAATCAAGTAATTAAACATATTTTTCAATATAGATTTTTCCATATTATTCCACAGTATGTGTTAAGTAAGATTTTTTAAATAATTTTTTTTCTATTAAACAAAAATGGAAAGATTGATCAATACAAGAGAAAATATTAACTTTAACTATTGGGTGTGATTAATACTATCTTTATTTATTTTTCAAATGACATTCAGGATTAAATTAAGTATCAAATTTAAATTAGTTTAAAGATAGCAGTGACAAAAACAATAGTTAGTTAAAGTATATAAAATACATGTAAAGTTAAATTGTATATAGTTTTTGCATTATTTTATTTTATTATACTTAATGCTTTTATTAATCAAAATTATGGCTTTAGTAATAGATCGTCAATGATTGAATTTATTCCTTTTTTTTTTAATTCAAACTTATATAAATGAATTTTGGATTATTATAATTGATGAAAATAGTAATTGTTTTTATTTTTTTATGAAAATTAATTTATTAAGTCTACGAAAAATTTCTATTGATTCCTGATCCGTCCTATTCCGTCCTATCTCATATATTTAAATTCTCGTCTCATTCTATTCAAAAAAATAGGACGAAACCATGTATTTATTGAAATGAGATTGAGACTCCATTTTTCATATTCCGATATTTTAAAATGGAACTGAAAATTATATAATTTTCGTACCAAACTCGAGCCATGTACGCCCCCAAGTTTTTTTCAAAACAACTAAAACCATACACGACGACCCTAATAGAATGGATCACAATTAATAGTTTAACTATTTATAATTTTATATCTCACCCAAACTCGCAATAAATGGATCAAAATTGGGTAGCCGAAAATACCAGCTTACTGCTAAGCTCTAACCCGTAGTTGTAGCGAACGACAACTCATAATGCGTTTCATTTATGAGATAAAAACAGATCTCCCCTCTTTCTTTCTCGTGAGACTCCAGGCACAGATTATACATAGTCTACAACCATTTTTTACCTGTAATCCTTATGAATAAGACTAAAGAGAGATGTATTGGATTCCTCATCTTTAAAAGCCGCTTTCACTTTACCACTTTCTTTAGCTACTCTCTCTCTCTCTCTCTCTCTCTCTCTGAAACAGGAACACTGAGCCAGCCCACGTGACATAATTCATATGTTTCCATCTTCTTTTCCTAGAACTTACCATTTGCTCCTTTCATACCTCTCTTCTTCTTTTTCTCCTCTTCTTTCACCAACCTTTTTCTCTCTTTCTTTAAAGCACCAACCGCACAATCCATGTTTTAATCTCTTCATCTCTGTTCATGGCCTATCATCTAAAAGATTTCTCTGTTTTAATTTTCTTCTTAATACTAATAATCCCTGTCTCTTGCCAATTAAACGAAGTTTTCTTTTCTGGGTTTAAAGATATTAACAAAGACAACCTAACCCTAACCGGAGGTGCAGAGATTACCGAAGATGGCATTCTTCGTTTAACTAACGAAACAAGTAGGATAATGGGTCATGCTTTTTATTCTTCTCCTTTTCAGTTCAAGAACTCAACTGTTAATTCTAAAGTTTTCTCCTTTTCTACATCTTTCGCTTTCTCAATAGTTCCTGAGTATCCAAAGCTTGGTGGCCATGGCCTCGCTTTCACTATTTCAACTTCCAAAGAATTGAAGGCTCTTCCTAGTCAGTATTTGGGTCTTCTTAATGCAACTGATTTAGGTAACTTCACAAATCATCTTCTTGCAGTTGAATTTGACACCGTTCAAGATTTCGAGTTTCAAGATATAAACGACAACCATGTGGGTATTGACATTAACAGCTTGAAATCTAATGCGTCTGCTCCTGCTGCTTTTTTTTTTGAAAATAATAATACTTTTTCAAAGCAAGATTTGAGTCTCAAAGATGGAAGTCGAATCCAGGTCTGGATCGATTATGATTCTGTTCAGAATCTTTTAAATGTCACTATTTCACCCACATCCAACAAGCCAAGATTGCCGATCTTGTCACTTCATATAGATCTGTCACCAATTTTTCAAGACTATATGTACGTTGGTTTTTCTTCCTCAACGGGTTTGCTTGCTAGCTCACATTATATTTTAGGCTGGAGCTTTAAAATCAATGGACAAGCTCCAGGTTTGGATCTTTCTTCATTACCTTCTCTTCCAACAGTGTCTAAAAAGAATCACACTTCTTTTAAAATAGCAGTTTCAGTTCTGTCAGCTTTCCTTTCAATCACTGCAATAGCGTTAGCTATACTTTACTTTATTACAAAATTTAGAAATGCTGAAGTAATAGAAGATTGGGAAATGGAGATTGGACCGCACAGGTACTCATATCAAGAACTAAAGCAAGCAACAAGTGGGTTTTCCGACAAACAGTTACTTGGACAGGGTGGTTTTGGTAAAGTTTATAAAGGTACATTACCAGATTCAAAGATTGAAGTTGCTGTCAAGCGAATTTCTAATGATTCTAATCAAGGTCTACAAGAGTTTGTTTCAGAAATCGGTAGTGTTGGTCGACTTCGTCATAGAAACTTGGTTCAGTTGCTGGGTTGGTGCAGGCGAAAAGACGATTTCCTGCTTGTCTACGATTTTATGTCTAACGGCAGTTTAGACAAGTTCATTTTTGATCAAGCAGAGACAGTATTAAATTGGGAACAAAGGTTCAAGATTATAAAGGATGTTGCTTCTGGACTTCTTTATTTGCATGAAGGATACGAACAAGTGGTTATACATAGAGATGTTAAGGCATCTAATGTTCTATTAGATACTGAATTAAATGGTAAGCTTGGTGACTTTGGGCTTGCAAGATTATATGAACATGGTTCGAACCCAAGCACGACGAGGGTGGTGGGTACATTAGGTTATCTAGCACCAGAATTACCTAGAACAGGAAAAGCTACCACAGGTTCAGATGTGTATGCATTTGGGGCACTTCTGCTTGAAGTGGCTTGTGGGCGCAGGCCGGTGGAACCAAAGGCGTTGCCGGAGGAAATGGTGTTGGTGGATTGGGTATGGGAAAGGTTTAAAGAAGGGAGAATTCTTGAGGTGGTGGATAATAGGCTAAATGGGGAATATAATGAGAGTGAAATTGTAATGGTGATAAAATTGGGAATAATGTGTTCAAATAATGTGGCAATGGCGAGGCCAAGTATGAGACAAGTGGTAAGGTATTTGGATGGAGAGATTAGCGTGCCTGAAAATTTGATGGCTCCTCATGGTGTTCCATATGATGGAGGGAAAGCCATTGTTGAAGGGTTAGATGATATTGTGAATTCATTAGCTTCTTCTTCTTTTGATAAAATGTCTGCTTCTTCGTTTATGGAAAATGGGAATGGTGGTTCTAGTTTTGCTGCACTTTCTACTTCACCACTTTCTCTTCTCCATGTTGGAGAGGAAGCTAGGTAGTGCCATTGATTTAGAGGTGACAATTTTTCTTCTTCCACTTACCTTTTTTTTTTTTTTTTTTTTTACTTCACCACTTCTCTTCTCATGTTGGAGAGGAAGCTAGGGAGAGGTGGGGGGGGGGGATAGTGCCATTGATTTAGAGTGACAATTTTTCTTCTTCCACTTACCTTTTTTTTTTTCCTTTTTTTTTTTTTTTTTTTGAAGGCATATGTTATGGTGAAGCTTTTATTTGTCTCAAGATCCATATAGTTTTATGATATATTTATTTACTTGGTATAATTAAAGATATATCGGAGAAGAATTCATAACAGGAGTAGTATAAGAATTTTTTAAATTAATTCATAAGAGTTCATAAAATTAATAATTAATTTATAAAATACTCCTGTTGTTGTCCATAGTTAGTGACAGGTTCTAAAAAACCGAATAGAGCAAACACAAACCCAGGGCAAGCTTAGTTTAATGGTTTACAATTAACAGTTGGTATTCAATTATTAAAAAAGGCCCAGAGATTCTAATAGTTATAAATACTGACTTCAGTATTTTAATTATAACATTAAATTTCTAATTAAACGCACATTTTCAATATGATTATTAAAAATATTAATGTTTGTAGACATCACATCCTTATATTAGGGAGTTGAGTATGAGGTAGGGTTCATTTCCGAATGAGGGATATATTAAATAAAAATATAAAATGTCAATTCATAATTAATAGTGTATTTTTTATTTATAAAGTTAAAGAAAACCTGAAACTTTTGTTATTGGAAAAATGTTGTCCGAATACCTTCCTAGTCTAAACACAAAAACTACAAGTGTAAACCAAAAAAAAAAAAAACAAAAGAAAAAAGACAAAAAGATCCATTCATATTTGCATGTGTAAACATAAAAGATTGAGAAACGGGCCAAAGATAAAACCTTTTTGAACAACTACTGAACATAAGCTAAAATCCAAATTTCAATGGTAGTGCCTGATGAATGATATCATTTTCAAATTTCCCCACTCCATTCTTCTTTTTCACATTTGCTTTAATACTTCTTATCTCATAAAAATCAGAAAGAAAAAAAAATACAAAAAAAAAAAAAAAAAAATTAAAAAAAAATAACAAAAAAAAAAAAAAAACACAAAAAAAATGTTAATATTTTTTAAAACATTTTACTAACATAAAAATCTAAGCGTTATTGATAAAAATTGTTTTTTGGTCAAAATATTATTATGATCAATAATGTAACATTAAAAACACGGAAAAATTTACAATCGAAAAAGAAGGCCTAGTGTGATATTCCGAAGTTTGTAATAAATCAAACCCTTTCTTCCCAATAATACCGAAGCAAAGACAGGTCGAATGGAATTATCGCAAAGACTATATAATCATCAAATGAAGAAGAAACTACCAAAACATTGTAGACTGACGTTGTTTTTAATAAATTCAATCATTCTTTAATTTTAATCTCTAAGATAAATCGAATTCTTAGTAGAAATTTTAAATATTTAAAAAAATAAAAAAATACAATCTCCAACATTAACTATATTAAATATGGGACTGCCGTTAGCCAGGAGTGCCATAGAAGGTGGGCAACAAGTAAGAAAACAGCAGATCCCTTGTGACATGGTTTTTGAGAGGGATTCAAAATATTGATTATCGATGGTGAAAAAGCCACCAGAACATTCTTTCTGTTTTTGCACATGCAAGTTTATTTTAAATATTATTTTATTTGTAGCATATTGGATTTCAAATTATTCTCATTTTCCGTAAAGGAATTTAACTCAAAAGAAGTCTGTTTCATCATCTAATAATCATAACCGAAACGCTATAAGAATAATCCACATAATTGATTCTTAATATAATCCAAAAAAATAACTTTTAATTATGGTATATCTATGAATCATAGTATAATATACATTAAAGGTATTGTCCCTTTCAAATAAATGTAAGAGTGTTTTTTCGATTTCTTCAGAAAATGAAAATAAAAATTGGAGGGGATTTAATTATGGTACCTATACTATAATTATTGATTTTATTTCTTAAGCTAAATTTTTTAATAATTAATTATACGCTTTAGTTAATTATTAATAATAGCGTTGCTTGTTTTTATACTTATTTTATTTTCTTTAATTGCTAATTCACACGGGACAAATTGAAGAACCAATATACATATATATAGTTTGGGTTCAACTTCAAAAAAGCATTGAAATAGATTTCGGATTTTGGGAGGCATAAGTAGAATATTTGGAAATTTAATAATAATAATGCTCAAAATCGAAATAATGTTTGTTATGATGCATAACTATGTGAGATGTAATTATAATAGTAGAACTTATGCGTGTTACTTGTTAGGTTGACAATTCTGCTGTCATTGAGGAAAAGTAAACAAAGAGAGAATTGAGAAGAAAAAGAAGTGGCCAGCAAAGAAAGTAGCAAGCCTATACGGTCCATATGATCGATATGGAGGAAGTACTCCAACTTTATAGCTAAGAAGTGACATTTTGTTCATTTCTTGCACTTGAACCTTCTTTAAAAAGATTTTTTTAAATGAGGCAAAAGAACGTGCGCCTTTTCTCCATCAAATATTCCTGCCATCCATCTATTTAGCATGTGCTTTGCGCTATGGGTTCAATGCAAATGTAAGGAGCAACGCGCTGGCAGATTCCACAAGCCAAGCACTACCAGAAATCCTACTCCGCTAGATTCTCTCTTGTATTGCTCAGAAAAAATACAACACTGCATATGGAAATATCGAGAATGAATAATACAAGAATCAATCAGTAGTATCCAGAAATCTCTATGTGGCTTGGGAGAATGGTACGTAAGGCTAAGTGTACGGTTTTTCTCCCTATCAAGAATCAAAGAATTAATGGGATCCGACTCTTTCAGGATTGGAACCGCTCACGTGCGGGACTTTGTCGCCAGATCTTTCATCAACTTGCCCTTGTCATGAAAGAAAAGTGCACCTAACAAGTCCAAAATGGCATGCTCTATGTTTTCAACGGTTTGGTAAAACGGCAATGATTTGGTGAAATATAATATTATATAATCAAAGTTCTTTTTTGTTTTCTCCCGCTAAATCACGATTATTACTGCCTATGGAGTGGACATAAAATCTTGTTTATAACGTGTAAAATTTTAAAAAGCGAAACATTTCGCATTTTAAAAAATTTTTCTACAGCACAACTTTGTTTCTTCATTGAGTAAATAAAGACCTTATAATTTTATTAGGAAATATTATAATAACAGGTACTAGTTTATTCAGAAAAAAATAAGGAGGTGTAGAAGACTTCTCGAGTGCCAAAGTTGTTCACGCAATTCATACATGAAATTTTTTATACAATTTGATTTGTGAATTGTAGGCTCCACGAATGGCGTGCAACATAGGATTTTCCCTTGTTTTTCTCGTCGTCTGAATTTAGTGTTTTTTTTCCCTTCTTTTCGTATGGAAAGTGAGAAAACAGGAGAGCTTGTTCTCAAGGAAAAAACGACTTCCGTGTTTTTTCCTGGAAAAATAAAAATAAAAAATACAGAAGAATGGAAACATCGCGGTGAAAGTAGAGAACATTTCTAAAATATCTCCAAAACTTTTAATAAAATCATTGTTTTTCGAGTAAACTTACAAAAATAACCTTCAAACCTTTACGGCTTTGTTACAGACATGCTCTAATAGGACCTTTGTAACTCCGGATATACTTAATTTTTACAAATTTAGATATATTAACACCGTATTCTTCAAAGCCGCGAGCGATTGAATTTTAGAATAAAATAATGAGACGTGGACCCATGATATAATCTAATTTAACTAGGCTAACAAAACGCGCGTTTTAATTAAGTTCACGCAAAAATCAGTTTCTGTTTCTCCCATCATCAATGACTCCTCTCTCCCACCGCCAGAAAATCAGTTCTTGGTTTCTATGAATGAACTGAGAAAGTTGAAATTTTTTGTATCTAGTTTTAATTTTTAAATATTTGATTTGAATTTAATTATAATTTAAAATATTTTATTTAGGAGGGAGATATCAAAAAAAAAATATATTCTTTTTTTTAGTATTTTTTTTTATGAGTTTATATGATTTGATTGGATATATTTTAAAAAAATAAATTTTTCAAATTAGAATGTACATAAAAATATTTTAATTTGAAAGAGAGAGATGAAAAATCCGAAAAAAATAGTTCTTTTTTGTAATAGGGTTGTAAGGACCAAATTAAGGATTTAATTGAAGAGGATGAAATGTTTTCTTTATGTAATCTTTTTATTAAATAATTACTATTTATTTAATTTTTAAGTTTGCGCAACTACAATAATAGAGGAAACAAAGATACTTAAATCAATTCGTTAGCTCACTAATATGTTGGTCCTAACATGATTGTGGGCTTCGATAATTTTGCTCACGGAAACCCGAATCCGATGGGGCCGGACCGGGGGGCACTAAAGGGCCCGGTAAGCTAAGGGGCCCCGAGGGCCCGTAGTAAGCCTGACGAACACCTAAAAATTTACCTATCTCAATATATATATATATTAATATACGATAGGTATATAATTTTTTTACATTCGAGCCATATGGATGGAAATAAACGCAGAATTCCTATTACAACTCGGCCCAAAGTTTAAAACATCTTAAACATTTAAAAATTACGCGCCTGCTGTAACAATACAATATTATAATATAATGCTCACAAGAAGATTGTCATCTATAATAGATATACGACTAAAAATATATCAAATCCTATAACTGGCGGGAGTTTCACTAACAAATGAATACAGATAATCTTCGGACCTTTTATCTATTTAATAGATCGAATACTAAAATTAGAGAACTCTTTTCTAAACAGTGAAGAGAAGGTAGAGGGTTAGTAGGCTGGGAACTGTAGAAAGAGCTACTTCCTGAAAGATTTGAAACAAAAGAGATGTGGAGTTTGTTAAAGAATAATAATTATTGCACCAACAACACGCGATTTCACACAAATGTTATAAATATATCAATCTAGTCCATCCGACTAGTATAATGTTCACAAGCCAAGTCACCACAAACTGGCATATCACCAGCCTCACAATATATTAACCATCGTTC